TTCTTAGAGTGATTGTAGTGGGAGCGGAGGGGGCAGGATTCATCATTGGTTGGCATTTTGGTCGAGTCCTTGCGACTCCCATAAAAAGTTCTTGGTACGATCCCACTTGTTCCCCCGTCATCGAGCTGTGGGGGAGGGAAAAATCAACTATTGAAAATTTTTTTCTCAGACCAAATACGGTCCCCTGTCGGGAAATCTCCAAAGATGATGTGCCCTGCAAGGGAGTGGGGAAGGAGAGAAGGAGAATAGAAAGTATCGAAGAAGACTAGTATTGAGCAAAAACTCAACATCCTTATAATGTAAATTGATTCCTGCATTTCTTTCAGGGGTCAAAATTACAAGGACTATGACGTGTTCAAGGGCCAGGAACATTGTGTGCAGCTGATCTTTTATCTCGAACTGGGATGCGGGATAATTAATCAGAAATGTTGTTGTGAGCGAAGTCCACAACTTACGCCCTGGTATAATTGCGTCCACAGTGGACCAATCTTCATCACAACGTTTTATACCATCGTTTACATGTATCCTCGAGACGAGGAATAGTGGCAGTGCCATGGATATACTAAAAAGAACAGAATCCTCTGGAAAACACCATAGAGTAAGAAGAGCGAAAATCACCTGAAAGCCCACGTAGCCAGAACGAGATAAATTGCTCGTTTCCGTGTCAAGCGCATACTTGGTGACATAACAAACATTATTGCCATCCATCGATCAAAACTGTAAACTGATACTTTTTTGGGGAACTTCTTAGGGTTAATTCCAAATGAACCAACCTGATCACGACTAGAGTCCAGGAGCTCAGAAACACTGCGATCCCTTGGAAGAACGAAAGAAGACTGCACATTGCAGAGCCAAACACCCATCGCTGATCGTCGAAGATCAACACTTGCCAGTACGAGAATGGAATGCAGAAGACAGCTATCAGGAGGTCGGCTGAAATGTCTCGTCTACATTTTGACTGATATATTTCCTCATCGTGAGAGGCAAGAGCTATCATTTGGTGATATCAGTATTTGAAAGTTGAAGAACAAATGGATGCATGTGCAGTCTTATTCGATGCGGAGGAGGGGGCGTGTCTATGGACAAGGCTTGGCACGCCGCCAGCTCATTTTCAACCAATTGTTGGAGCGGGTAAGCGACACAGTCGGTAAGAAAAAGACTAATACGAACGATATGATGCAGCCTTGTCGCTTGCCGAGAGAAAAGAGCGGAAACGAGCTGAAAGCGCGCCAAACCTTTCCGGCCTGACACAACCCTTCATCTGCACATCTGACTTGCTGGGTTTCGCCCTCCCACCGAGACAGAGGTCGTATCCCTTCCCTCAAAAGACCGTGGCCGTTGAGCACAGAGT